CCCATTCACCTGGGGGGTTGATTTCTCACTTCCTGTCTCCCTGTCTCTCTCTGTCTTTGTGGCGGGCACACACACCCTATAGAAAAAAACTCTCAAAAAAAAAAAAAGAAAGAAAGAAAGAAAGAAATTCTAGTTCATAAGAAGTTTTGTTTTTGTATTTTTTTTTAAAGTTTATCACATTTAACAGCCATTGGTAAAATAAATAGCATTTCTTAATTTGTTGAGATTATAAATATATTGGTTAGATTTTAATCCAGTTCTTCAAAGCAAAGTTTCTGAAATGAAACAATATATATATATTTTTTTTCACTTAATATAGTATATATACATATACTGATATCTTTCATGAGCAGATTTGTTATATAAGCATTATCTTAAGATTTTATAATTATTTCTGGGAATTTTTAAAAGAAGTGTATTTGTTTTTTCCATAAATGAGTGACAGACAGACGGAGAGAGCGACAGAAAGATAGCACTCCCAACAGGATCTTCATGCAGTGATCCATCCCCAGCCAGCCCCAGTGGGGCCGGCAAGAACTACCATGTCAGCGAACTACCCAGATGTGAACCTAGAATCTTCCCATGTGGGTCAGCCATAGAGTGTTGTGTTTTACCTTTTGCACTATCTGACCCCAGGATATTTTAAATTTTATCTTTTTTTTTTTTTTTTTTGGAGAGGGTTTTCGTTATAGGGCGCGTGCACTCACCAGACAGAGAGAGACATAGAGACAGAAAGCGAGAAATCACCCCCCAGGGGGGATGGTCACGCCGCAATCCCTTCTCCTCTATTCTCCTCTCAGGATCTTGGGCACACACGCACACGCGCCCGGCATGAGTTTTTTTTAAGCCACCGGGTCCGGGACGCGAACTGCAGTCGACTACATGGGAGTCCAGCAACATAGCCATTACAGTAACTGCTGGTTCCCAGATTTTATCAGTTTTTTTATGTCTCAGGTTAGGTTTTAGATTTCCACTAAAACACCTAGAAGAATGATTAGAGGACCTAACATTAACAAGTGCTTAAAATACATGATAATATTGGGACCAGCAGATGGCATAATGGTTACGTTGCTGGACTCCCACATAGTCCACCACAGTTAAAGTCCCAGACCTGGCCACTTAAAACTCATGCCAGACACCTGTGCTTGCCCAAGATCCCGAGAGATCTTGGAGAAGGGATCGCTGTGTGGTGATTTCTTGCTTTCTGCCTCTCTGGCAAGTGTACATGCCCTATAGCAAAAATCTCTCTTTAAGAAAAAAAAAAGTGAATGCTAACATCAATGTACACACATACTCACAGTTCCAGTCACTGAGGTAAATAAGAAACAAACTTACTGAGCAGTAAGATAATAGACATTGTTGTAGTTGATCTTGGTTTTCTTACCAATAATATGTTCAAGAGTTATGCTAGGAAAAGAATGATTATCTTCCCTTCCAGGACCTCAGCGTCTCAGTAACTGTGGATCTGTGCATTGTACATTTAGTTGTAAAGCAGCTCTTCACTCTCTCTTACCCCAACCCATCAGTTCTTCCTTCCTTCAACTCATAACTTGATTTGCTTTGATTCCCAACTAGACCTCTTATAAGAAAGGTATTTCAATGGAATTACTACCTCTTTTAATTTCCTTGCCTCTTTTCTTTCTGGTTCTTTAATCCTGCTAGTCACTACCTTTGAGGGTTATCTCTTTTCTGTTCTATTTCTAGGCTATTCTGTTTGGCCAGAGAAATATCACTTAGATACTGTTTCCGATTAACCCCCTTGTGCTTGGTGTTCTGGATGATCTCATTAATTTCCTTGGTTTCAATTGATTTTTGCTTGTGGATGACCCATAACTGTTGTCTCCAAGCTAGACCTCACTGCTCAATGGTAGACATGGATATCTGAATGCATAGTGGAAGTTTCCATTTGGGTTTCTCAAATAATTCAACACACATAAAACTGAGTTCACTTAAACCCATTGTTCCCACCTGTCCCTGCTCTCCAGCACAGGGAGTGTTGGTTATCACATTCATGAGGTTGCCTATTACAGAAGACTGAGTCATTCTTCAATACTCACTTTCCTTCACTCTCTGCATTTCATCAGTCTTCAGATCCTGTGGATTTGACCTCCTATACAGTTCTGACATCTTACTTTTTTCTTCCTGACATTAATTCAAATCCTATATCTGTAGCAGTTTTGTTCCTCTTTCCTATTCCTTTCCCAAATGCATCCAGTGTGATTGTTCTAAAAAGATCGTGTTAAAGGCCAGACAGTGGCACAGTGGTAAGACGTGGCACTCAAGTAATGCCCCATGAAAAGATTCTCTGTTCAAGTCCAGAGATATCCTTGAGTACCCTGGGCCCAGGATCCAGGGCTAGCTGAGGCTGAGGTTGGATCATGGCATCTGGACCCTGTTGGGAATGTTCTCCCTCTCTCCTTTTTTCTCATTCATGAAGAAATACAATTAAACAATTTAGCAAAAAAGATGTCACTTTCTGACTTAAAAGCTTTCAGTTAACACCTTATTAGTTACTTTTAAATGTTCATTGTCCTTGGAATAAAGTCTAATTCGCATTTTAGTTTGACTTAACAAGATTTTTGTCACTTGACTATTACTTACCTTTCCATTGAATCTGTTCATTTAAATGCTGCTTTAGCCTTTAAGTAAGGCACTAAGAAGGAAACCTACCATGGTTTCCTTGGCCTCCAGGCATCTGTTACTTGAAAGGTAACAGATGCTAGAAAGAAAGCTGCTGACGTTTGAATGATATGCTTGGTATACAGATAAGAAAATTGTGTCTTGTGTAAGTTGGGAATGGGATTTAGTTATTTAGCCATCCCAGTTCTTCCTGTTTTCTTTAAAGCCTAAATTAAGGAAACTGGTTGATAATCAAATTGGCAATAAGAGGTACTGAACTTTAATTTCTTTAATATGTCTTTCCTAACAGCCTTGGGTTCAACATTGTGCTTTATGGTTTGGGTTCTAAGAGAGACTTACTAGAAAGGTTTCGAACCACCATGCTGCAAGAGTCCATTCATGTTGTCATCAATGGCTTCTTTCCTGGAATCAGTGTAAAATCAGTAAGTTTCAGAAATGATAAAGAGAACATTGTCTCCCCTGTTAGTCCATACCTCCACATTAACTAAGATGCTGTTTCTCATTCTGGAGCATTACATTTAAAAGATTTTTGTTTTATGCTTCATGCTAGTGGGATACATAGTGCTTAAGATGATATGATTGGATTCAAAGAAACTGTCTTCAAAACTTTGTCTTTGAATTTCAAACTTAGTAACTGATGAAACCTTGGGGAAATGTTGGCTTTGTTTACTATACCAAAAAGCCACAGTATTTCTTTGAAGGACAGAATTATGGAGTCCTCAATTTTATTATGCTTTTATATCATTTTGATATTCTAAAAAAAAATCGATATAATTAAGTTTGTAATTTTATAATAAATCTGTAGGGCTTATTGTGTGTGTGTTTTTCCCAATGTTTATTTCTTCCATGAGAAGGGAGGAAGATAGAAAGAGGCATCCCCAACAGGGTTACTATACATGAACCACCCCTTCCTAGCCTCAGCCAGCCCAAATCACAGGCTTGCACCTGGCATATACAAGGAGGCCTCAGTATGCGAACCTGGGACCCCCCTCCCATTTGGATCCAGCTTTGCAGAACATTCTGTTTTTACTGTACCACCATCGGGCCCTTACTGTAAATAATTTTTTATTTAAAATATTTGTATCTCTTTATTTAAACATTAATTTTTACTAATATACTATCCCTGGAGTGCAGCAATTAAGTGCAGTATACAGAGAGTTAGATCCCATATGGCTGACTATCTTTTGAATCCCAGCCCCAACAGCTTGAAAAACACAGGGTGCGTGTGCATGTGCCCCAAATCCTGATGGGATGGAGAAATGGAAGAAAAAAGATTGCAGGATGACCACGCCCCATTGGGGGTGCTGTCTCTCTGTCTTCCTCCCTCTGGTGAGCATACACACCCTCTGCTGATCAGTAGCTAGCTAGCTTTTGGGTGCTGGATATTCGTCGTAATTTATTATTCCATTCTTAGTGTTTTGTACTATTTGCTTTGGTAAACCTATTATTTTCCTAAAGTTTCTCATACTGTTGGGCAGTTTCTTTGTTTTTGCTGCCTTCTTACATTTTCTTATCTTTTCTGTTTTCTTATATTTATCTTCATGTTTCCTATTCTCTGTTCCCTTTTAGCCATACTTTATGCAAAAAAAAAATGTTATTAGATTTACTTAAATGACAGAATTTTTAAAAGTGAATTTTCAAACTTTGGGAAATCCAAATTAATTTTTAATTTATAAAGAATGATTTGCTGTTGAATTGTATTTATTCTGTATGACAGAATAGATTAATTGACGTGGTACCTCTTGCACTTTTATGATACAGATCTTGAATTCTATAACGGAAGAAGTCCTCAGTCATGGGGGTACTTTCCGAAGTGTCCTGGATCAGCTAGACTGGATAGTAAACAGATTTAAAGAAGGTAATCTGAAGCAGACCCTCTGGAGTCTTAGGGTGACGTTAAGCAGACGGTGCTACTTATTCATGTATATGTATACATAAAAATAAGGGTTATTTTAATTGTGGTACTTATCTCAATACTGATATAGATTTCTCTAAAATAATTAGCCCTTTTTTCTTTTTTAGAGAAATTTTTGCTATAGGGCACATGCCCTCACCAGAGAGACAGACAAAAAGCAAAAAAATCACCCTCCACGGGGGATGACCACATCACAGTCCCTTCTCCATTCTTCTCAGGATTTTGGGCACACACGCACACATGCTCAGTGAGAGTTTCGAGCTACTGGGTCTGGGATTTGAACTGCGGTTGGCTACGTGGGAGTCCAACAACATAACCGTTAGGCCATCTGCTGGTCCCTGTCCTTTTATCTTCTTCTTTTTAATTTGCCAGAGAGCGTGGATACACACCAGAGAGAGGGCGAGAGAGAAGGCACCCCTCAGCAGGGTGTGGTCAATACCTTCTTCATTTCTCTGTCCTTCCAGGTGCACATGCTCCTGGCAGGTTTTTCAGTCCTCTAAGTTCAGAATTTGAACTGTGCAGTTAGCCATGTAGGATCCAGCTCTCTTAACCATCAGACCATGGGCCAGCCTTGTCCCTTTTTTTATGAACTTTTTTTCTGAATTTTACTTACCTAAAAGGAGAGATTCTCCTACTATCTTAAGTTTGTATAGTTAAAAGCCTCCTTTGTTCTGAGTAAATGTCACTGGATTGGAACAGTTTTATGTACTAAAGTCTGTAAAATGGGACAAAGACTTTTTTATTATTCTTTGGCATGAATGTTTTGATTAAGTAAGCATATCAGAAAATTGGAAATTGGTCTCATTTCTTACTAAGTCTCCTGAGACTTACCAATACCCCTGGCTTTTAAATATGCACAGAAAATATTTGCCTGATTCTGTGGCCTCTCCACACTGTTTTACATCCCTATTTTCATGAGATTTCAGAGTTTTTCAAGACATGTCCCAGTTCTAATTTTGACTTAATATTCTTCTAATTTATTTTTCTTCTATGCTACCCAAACTGTGTGCTTAATGATCGTCTGTTACTTCCTGTTTACTACACCCATTACCTCAGCTCATCCTCGATCTTGACTGCCGCCATATTTGATGGTGTTGACAACTCCACCCTCCAAATTCTTCCTTCATTGACTTTTTATGTTATTTATTTCTCTGAAGTGCTTGATAACCTTGAGTAATAGTGAGCCCCTTGCCCCCTTTGTTTGTCTCCTTTGGCTTTTGTGATAATCAAGGTTTTCTATATACTCTCTTAATGCTTAATGAGAACTGTGAGGGTTGGGGGTGTTGTTTTGGTTGGGGGTGCCACCTCTAGTCCCACCTTGCAATATAATATGCATAGATTCATCTCCAGTCTATTATATACACCTTACTCTTATTTCCTACATTTTATTAAAACCGCTTTGTTTAGGACCAGATTCAAGTGCCATAATAACAATAATGTCTTGCCCTTTTTATGAGAGAATGACATATCTTCTCAAATAAATTACATATACCTTAAGAGTCATTTTACTGTTTATAATTATACTAGGTAAGTACTTTTTTCTGTACTAGTTTGATATTAGGTTGTCAGAAAAGTCATGACGTATTTTTCTTTTTTTTTTTTTTAATGAAAAAATGCATCATGACTTTTCTGACAACCCAATGTTTTCTTAAATATGTAGGCATTGTGGAGGCTTCACAAATGCTCACTGAAAATAATTATTGAATTCTTTATCCTTCTAGATTCTTCTTTAGAACTCTTCCTTCTCATCCATAATTTGGATAGCCAAATGTTGAGAGGAGACAAGAGCCAGCAAATTATTGGACAGTTGTCATCCTTACATAACATATATGTTATAGCATCTATTGATCACCTGAATGCTCCTCTTAGTAAGTTCAATGTTAATACTTTTCTTGGCTTAGCTGGTGGTGTGGAGATTAAAGCGACTGTATCCCACATAGCCAACTGCATTTTTCAAGGCCTGGACATCACACCTTGAGAAAAACACCAGGCACATGTGCATGTGCACACAAAATCTTGAGAGGAAAATGGAGGAGAAGGGATTGCAGTGGGGCCATTCCCCCTGGGGCATGCTTTCTCACTTTTTCTCTCTCTCCCTCTCTCTCCAGCAAGTGCACATACCCTCTAGTAAACTTAAACTGAAAACACACACTCACATATCATATATAGAGAGTACATACATATATATTTTTTCTTTCTCGAGATATCAGTCTTACACAACTAATTTTTTTTACTGCTTAAAGTTATGAAAGTTATGAAATTTTATTGTTCAGTGTACTTTTTCATTGTTACATGTTTAAAGACACAAGTTGCCAAAAGGGGTGGTTTATATCTAAAGTTATATGAGGAGGAGACCTAACTATTATTTTGATCTCTTTCAAAAGTATGCCTTGGTAGTGCTAAGATATTTTAAGATATATTCAGTATGCAAGTTAAGATTCAGTTGTTGATCAGCAATGAAATCAGATTGTGAGATACTGATTTGGATAGGGGAAGCAGCAAAGATAAAACATTCCACAATTCATTTTTTATTTAATGCTTTTTTCATCCTGTCCTGGAATATAATCTACTCACATGACAATACGACAATAACTTAGAGTTCTTGCTGTCTTTGATCGTGTGTTCTAGTGTGGGATCATGCAAAGCAGAGTCTTTATAACTGGCTCTGGTATGAAACTACTACATATAGTCCTTATACTGAAGAAACCTCCTATGAGAATTCTCTTCTGGTTAAGCAAACTGGATCTCTACCACTGAGTTCCCTGACTCATGTCTTACGAAGCCTTACCCCTAATGCAAGGTAAGAATAAAAGATACACACACACACACACACGTATATATATATATCTTTAACTATACATTTTATAATATGTAATACTAGATTTTAATTATGTTATGAAGGACCCCATTTCATTTGCAGGATTAAGAGAAGTAGTTGCTGTAACAGTTGCTAGTACTGGATTATGCAGTAGGCAGTTACATGCAGTTGTTATTGGGCAGCAGGGAGGCTACTCTGTCTAATTGCAATACTAATGTAAGAGTACCAACATTTTTTTCTTTTCTTTTTAATTGCCAAAGCATCGCCTGCACGCCAAAGAGGGACATAGAGAGAAAAAGCACCTGCCAGTGGGGTCTGGTCACACTGCAGTCCCTTCTCTTCTGTTTCTCCATGTTGTCAGGATTTGGGGCATGCACACACATGTGGCCAACATATTTTTCAAGCCTCCAGAACTGGGATTTGAACCACAGTCAGCCATGTGAGATTCAGCTTCCTTTTGTTTTGTTTTGTTTTGTTTTGTTTTTTGAGAGATTATAGCACATGCTATAGGGCGGATATGCTCTCCAGATAGAGAGAGAAGGACACAGAAAGTGAGAAACCACCCCCCAGGCCACTCAACAATCCCTTCTCCTCTTGGGATCTGGGGCACACACGCACACACGCCCAGTGTGAGTTTGAAGCCACTGGGTCTGGGACTTGAACCATGGTTGACTATGTGGGAACTCAACAGTGCAACCATTGCGTCATCTGCTGGTCCCAAGAGATCCAGCTTCCTTTCCTAATAGGCTTCTCAGTAAATTTTGATATTTCTGAATAATGGCATCTGAGTGATCATCAATCAAACATTATGATCCAAACACCAAGCCATTTATAAGATAAAACTCATTTGACCCTCATAACTAAGGTGGATAGGAAATAGCACAAAAATTTTAGTCCTGATCAATCCAGCTCCAAATTTCATGCTCTTAAATATGTCTGTATATGTCTCCAGTGAACCCCTTTCAGCAGCCTACCCCAGAGGCACATCTGTATGAATAAAAGCTAAGAAAAGCTGGTATAGCATAAGGCAGCAAAAAATAAATAGCATAGATCTGCAGCAGCTATGCACAGGTAGCACAACAACAGGCTGGAAGCCTCATTGGAGGCCTCATTGGAGGCCCCCCCCTAATCCTAGGTAATTGGGAGGCTGGGACAGGAGGATCACAGTAAAGTGAGACTCTGTCAAAAATGTCTGTCTCTGTCTCTTGCCCTTCTTCTTTCTCATAAAGGAAAAGTTATAAAAATAAAATAACATTAACATGCCAAAAGAGGACTTCAGTAGCAAGATCTTCCCTCAAAACCGTAAGAGCAAGTGTTGAAAAACAGCAAACTTTGCTGAGACTAGGTCTTTAAGATTTCAGTAGATGTGGGCCAGCTGGTGGCATGGTGGTTGAGGTGGCTGGATCCCACATGGCCAACTGTGGTTTGAGTCCCAGCCCTGGTGGCTTGAAAAACACACCAGATGCATGTCCATGTCTGCCCAAAATCCTGAGGAGAATGGAGGAGAAGGGATTTCCAAGTGGCCATCCTCCCGGGGGGGGGGGAGTGTGATTTCTCACTTCCTCTATTTCTCTCTCTCTCTTTCTGTCTCTTTCCAGTAAACACACATTCCCTATGGCAAAATTTGTGTAATTTTGTCACCTGCGTAGTCTTGCATAACCATCACTACAGTCAGGACACTCAACTGGAGGTCAGCAGGTAGCATGGTGGTTAGTGTGCCAGATTCCCACATGGCCAACCTTGGTTCGAGTTCTGGACCTAGTCGCTTGCTTTCTCACTTTCTCTCTCTTTCTGCATCTCTCTGGTGAGCATGTGTACCCTGTAGAAAAATTTAAATAACATTAATAATAAATAAAATTAAACAATTATTTTTAAAAAAGACACTTAACTGTACCATCACAAGACTTCCTCATATAAACCCTCAAATGCAAATTGTAATGAATTTTGTTACTCTCTATAGCTGATTTGTACACTGAGGATAAGATTATCATTGCATAAATATTGAAATATGCATTGAGTGGTTAATCAAATTTTTTGATAGAACTGGAAGAAAAAGTCTTCATTCTGTTTTACTCTTAGACTCACTGCCAAAGGACTACTTAGTTGCTGTGTATGAAATTGGGGAACTGCTCTAGTGCAAATATTTTTATAGTTTGGCATACCTAAATGTTTCTTTGCCATCCTTTAATCCTTTTTTTTTTTTTTTTAATTTAAAATATTTTGCGGGACCAGTAGTTGGCGTAATGGCTATGTCACTAGATTCCCATGTAGTTGACTGTGGTTCAAGTCCCGGATCTGGTGGCTTAAACTCACGCCGGGTGCGTGTGTGCCCAGGATCCCAAGAGGAGAATGGAGGAGAAGGGATTGCGGCATGGCCATCCCCCTGAGGGGTGATTTCTCGTTTTCTGTCTCTCTCTCTCTCTTTCTGTCTTTGTGGTGAGCACACGTGCCCTATAGCAAAACAAACAAACAAACAAACAAACAAAAACTCCAAAAAAAAAAAATTTAACTATTTGAATTTTGGTTCATTCTACAAACTCCAGTATCATTTAGTCTTCACTTGCTATGAATGTGATTGATGGAGTCTAAATCAAAATCCAGTTGTGAAGTCAGTGACACTTTAGTTATAAAGTGGCCATTCAGCTAATCCAAAATATACCATAATTATTATTTCTAGGTAATCATAAAAATGAAAATGTGGGCCAGCTTCATGGCCTGGTGGCTAAGGCAGCTGGAACCTACATAGCCTACCACGTGGTTCAAGTCTGACCCAGTGGTCTGTGAAACACACCAGGCACATGTGTGTATATGCTCAAAATCCCAAAAGGAGCAGATATAGAAGAAAAAGGATTGCAGGGTGACCATTCCCCAAGGGGGGGAGGTGATTTCTCTGTTTACTCTCTCTGTCTCTGGCTAGTGAATGTACCCTCATTTTAAAATTGTGGCATGCCCAAAGACTGTTGGGAATATTACTTTGTGTAGTTCTAAGTTCCACCCCCTGCTTGTACTTGGCCCACTCACCTGTGGAAATCATTTAAAATAAGAAAAAACTATGTACAGTTTTACTTAATGTAGAATTATTTTTTAATGACGTAAAATTGGAAATAAAGTAAGTATCTAAAAATCAGCAGGGAAATGGTCAGTGTGTGGTAGATATGCAGCCATTAAAACTAAAGCTTGTTTAGGGGTCTGGCCCCTTTGCCTAGTGGTTAAGGGAACTAGATCCTACATGGCCAGCCGGCTTCAGACCCTGGCCCTGGCAACTTGAAAAACATGCCAGGTGCATGTGTGTGTGTTCCCCAAATCCCAACAGGATGGACAAATAGAAGAGAAAGGATTGCGGCATTACCACACCCTATTGGGTGGTGTTTTCTCCCTCTCCCTCTCTCTGTTTGCCTCTCTGTCTCTGGAAAGCACATGTGACCCGTGTCATGTAAACAAACACAAAACTTTGTTTAGGAAGCATTTTTAAACCCGGGGGAAAACTCAGTAAGTGAAAAAAGTGGTATATAGTATATACCTAATATAATTTCAACACCAAGTGTTTATTTCTGTCATCATAGGGTTATGGGATTGATACTTTCCTCTTTAGATATATTCCAACTTTTCTACAGCAACTAATATACAGTCAGGGAAAAAAAATAATGATCTTAGGTTTTTCTTGAAAGGAAAAAAAAAAAGGTTTTCCTCTTTAAGTAGACAGAGATGTGACTTTCCTTGGAGAAAAGGCAGAACGTAATGCAGACAGGCCAGTTGTCTGACAGCTGCTTTGTTTTACTGCGAGCTGTTATCTTCGGATGTTATTAACATTCCGTTTTTGAAGTTCTGTTTGTTTTGTTTTCTTTCATAGGGGAATTTTCAGACTACTAATAAAGTATCAGCTGGATAACCAGGATAACCCTTCTTATATTGGTATCAACATTTATATTAAATTGTGTGACTTTGTTTCAACCTATAAATTCCTATTTCTGAAATCCAGTGATGGCAACTGTATTTTTTCACAGCAGTGTATAAGTGGTCTCTCAGGGCTGGCTGTGTATGCTATAGTAACTTCTCAAGCCATCCCCTAGCTACACTTTTGAACAGGCTGTTTGCCAATACGAATTGAAAGACAAAGCCAGCTTACTTTTAAAATTGCCTGTGCTGGGCCAGCAGATAGTATGAAGGGTAAGATGCTGGATCCTACATGGCCAACTCTGTGGTTCAAGTCTTGGACCCCTGGCTTGAAAATCATAACCAGGCATGATGTGTGCATGCGAGCCCCAAAACCTAAGAGGAGACTAGAGGAAAAGGGATTGTGGCATGGCCATCCCCCCGTAGGATGATTTCTCAATTTCCCACTTTTCCTCTCTCTCTCACTCTCTCTGGTAAGCACACATGCCCTGTTAGAGAAACTGAAAAATAAAATAAAATTACTTGTGCTAACTATGGCTGTGTCTGCCAGTTACATAGTTATTACACACTGCATTTTAGGAAATTTTGTTCTCTTGCCAAAAATAAGTGCTGCTTTAAAAAAGGCATTTTAGTAACTTCCACTTCTAAAGTCAACTTTATTCAGACTTTAAAACCACCCAAGGGGTTATGTTACACTTGGTCACAGTTGACTTCTTTCACCAATCAGTTCTCTTTAAGAACTGTAAGCCACAATAGATGACACCTAAGTGTTGCTTAGTTTTTACTTTTTACCAGAGGTACTTTTTTTTTTTATCAACTCTTGTTGGTATAACATACCAGTAGCGCTTTTGGTCTCTGTCCTTTACTATGGTTATTCACATATGTCCTACCTGCTGACTTACATTCATATCTCCTTTTGAACTTGCCAGGACTTTCTTTTCAAGATTTTTATCAGCAATGTCGGGAGGCATTCCTTGTCAATAGTGACCTGACACTCCGAGCCCAGTTAACTGAATTTAGAGATCACAAGCTTATAAGAACAAAGAAGGTAAAACTGCTATTACAGCATTGTGTGCCAGGAATAGCGCATATAACTTATTAAGGGGTGTGGAGGTTATATGTTTATTGAGCATGTCAGATGCTGCACAAAGTGTTAAGGATGTAGTGGTGAGCACAAACCCAACTACTTTTCTTCTGGAGCTTTAAAGTCTAAAGGGGGAGATGGGCATTAGACAAGTAATAATATACATGTCCAATTTTAATTGTGTTAAGTCCTATGATTCTGAAAGAGCATATTCAAATAGGTAAACTTGGGGCCAACAGGTGGCATGGAGGTTAAGGCTCTGGATCCCACATAGCTGACAGGACTGTTTGATTCCTTGACCTGGCAGCTTGGAAATCACACCATGCACGTGTGCGTGCATGCCCCAAATCCTGAGAGAATGGTTGAGAAGGGATTGTGACAGGGCCATTCACCCTGGGGGGTGATTTCTCACTACCTCCCCACCGCCCTCTCCATGAGCACACACTTCCTATATAGCAGAAAACAAACACAACTAAAAAAAAAAGGTAAATTTGCCCTGATTATGGATATCAGAAGAAACCCCTGAACTGAGATCAAAAGGAAGATCAGGAGATAACCAGTCAAAAACAAGGAAAGAGGCCAGAAACAGCATTTAAAGAGACTTAGAACAAAAAGACAACCATCACAAGATGAGGCTAAATATACAGTGATATAAGACTATTGTGTCTTTTAGGCCAAAGAAAGGATTTTAATCTTTATTCTAAAGTAATAGGAATTAGGGGCTGGCAGGTGGTATGGTGGTTAGAGGTGCTGGACTCCCACATGGCCAACCATGGTTCCAGTCTCAGATAATAATATTAATAATAAAGTTAAATAATTTTTTATAAAACAAAATAATCAAAAATTATTCTACTCTGATGTGACCATGGAGAGTGGAATGGAGCAGTAGCTAGGTTGGACTATTGGGCAAGATGTGAGGAAGAGGAGACCATCATTATAGACAACTCTTCTGGATGGTGCAGAGGGAGGGCAATAGTTGGAGAGGAATGAAGGAGTGGAAGTTATTTTAAAGTGGGAACTACCTGAATATATTTAAAAGCCAGTGGAGCCAGCCATTGTGCCTCAGCAGTAACTCGATACCCCATAATGCCGAAGCCATGTGGAAGGCCCCAGGTTTGCATCCCAGAGTCTCTGTACATGCCAGGCACAGGACCATGATCTTGGCTGGCTTCGGTTGGGGGAGATGGCAGCATGGGGACTCTGTCTGTCTTTGTCTTCCTCTCTCATAGAATAAATAGATAAATGAACAAATAAATGAAAGAAGAAAAAAATTTTGAGTCAATAGAAAAGGATTCTGTTGAAAGAGGAAAACAACAGAAAAATTAGTGTCAAGATTCTGGAGAGGGTAGAAAGGTGAAGATGAATCTACAGCATGGTAAAGAAAATAAATGCCTTCCTGCCTACCTTCTTTAAAGTTGTTTAATTATTACTATATTAAAATACTACATATATATGTACTCCTGGGTACTCTTTTAACGTAATTTTTAAATTTACATATTTCAAATATTGCATCAAAGAAATCAGATACATTTTTTGTTTACCCTACAGTGGTTTAAGTATCTCCCTTACATCTTTCAGGGAACTGATGGAGTGGAGTATTTATTAATTCCTGTTGACAGTGGAACATTGACTGATTTCTTGGAAAAGGAAGAAGAGGAGGTTTGAAGCTATCCTTACTCATTTTATCTTTCCACGGAAGGGTTGTTGCACCCCAGCTGCCACTCCTCTGGTTGGAAGTGTTGTGTTTACATCCAACATTCAATTATTTTTCCAGCCTATGAAATTTTAAATTGGAAGCGGGGGAATGTCATCAGTGGAACTTTTGCTTAGCCTGGTGTTGTCTGTAGTACTACGCAGCAGTCCTCAAGTGGGAGAAAATGTGCCTTTCACTCATTACCTCTCCGGAGACTTCTTGCTGGAATGAACAGTGAGCTCAGGGAATATTTGGAACTGGATGTTTTTGAATTCTTTTATACTAGAGATATTATTCATAATTTTTTGAGGGCCTTTTAACACTCCCCGAGCTGATTGTTTGCAAGTGATGCGTTTGTTCCAGAGGGTGGAAGTACAAAGACCTGGGCATTGTGTAAATCTGCTTCATTTTCTGTTCTCTGTATCAGACCAATGAGTTTAATGGAAAAGGCAGATCATCTTTTACTGTTTCTGAATCAGCTTGACAAAAGTATAGGTTGGAAAGAAGTAGTTGGTCCAGCTTTCTCCTTTGGGATAGGCTACATACTAGGGATGAGGGTTGGGGATATAATACTATCAGTGGGGATAGCAGGAAAAGCGTAAGGAGTACATACCTTGTCCATCCACGCTAAAAAGCACGTGAACAGTGGATCCATTTGGAACTGTTTGTGTCTGTGTCAAGACCTTCATGATTCAAGTAAGAAAACAGGCTAGAGAAATAAAATCCTGAATTACATTTTAGTAATTGTTTTAATTTAGTAATTTCAACAGAAATAAAACAATTCATTGTTCTTAAATATTGACATATTTTTCTTTTCTTGAATAACATTGCAGGTAAATAGCATTTTAATGGCTGCCTATACATTAATGTTGGCTTTTCTGTCAAGTAGATCTAAAACTCACTGTCAGATATTTCCAATTTTTCTTCCTTAAAGTGATGAGTTCCAGCTTCCTGAATACTTACATGAAATAACCCTGGCCACTATGGTCTGCTCATAGGTTTCACGTCCTCTGAAATATCTCATACTTGGAAATGAAATTCTCCATTAAAATAGCACTGTAACAAAATATGTACTGCATCAACATTTCTCACTCAATTTGTAAATCTTTTAAGAAAATATTTCCAAAAATGCTTGGAATTTTAAAAAATTATTTTGTGGTATATAATTTTAAAGTAATTTTATGTTAAATCCATTTATTAAGGGTTTAGTCTTAAATTATCAAAATATTTAAATAAATTTTTACATGAATATAATTTTTTTAATTTAATTCGTACCAAAGGATATTCAGTGAAATTGAGTCTCCTTTCCATTCTCTGATCTGCAGTCCTTTAGGCCACCACTGGTAGCAGTTTGAGCTTTCTTTCAGAGATAGTCTATGCATATGTAAGGTGTCTGTATCTCTCCCTTCTGAAAACACAAATGGTGTCACATGATACTTGCTGGTTTGCACCTTGCTTTTTTGCTTATATCTAGTCTATGAAACTGTTACAGTGTAAAATATATATAAAACTTTAATGAACTAATATGCAGTGAAACTGTTACAGTGTAAAATATATATAAAATTTTGATGAACTAATGTGCAAATTTTTGCACTTGCCCTTAAATATCTACTGGTTTATTTTTATAATTTTTGTGTCTATACTATTTGTGAACAATATGTGTCGATAGACTTTACGATTAGTAAATAAAAAGCCAATTTGGATAAAATGACCTTTTCTTTCATTTGTAGTGTTTCTTTTTCTTTTCTTTTTTTTTTTTTTTTTACTAAAAATTCCTTGAAGTGCTTCCAATGGAACTTTTTTGGGTGCATCTTACAAATCTGGTGATCTTTGCAGAATTGCTGTATGTGCTTCATTAACTTGTGTTAGCATCAGTGTTAACTTTAGCTCTACCAGTTATATCTTGATTGCCAAGGTTCTGGTTTTTTCTACTGTGTTAACTTGCTTCCAGCAAGACTGGACAGACATTTTGAAACACTTGAAACATTTTCCAGGTACTCTTAATAGCAAAAAAAAAAAAAAAAAAAGGGATAAGGGATGTAGAAACATTCACTTTTTATAAATTTGAATTCCTTATGTACCAAGTACTATTTTAGTTTTCATAATAGTAAAAAAAAAAAAAAAACTTTGACTTTCTTAGCTTTTCTTTTTTTAAAGTTTTTGCCCTAGGGCACTTGCAGTTGCTGAAGAGAGACAGGGTAAGAGAGAAAGGAGGTGGCAAAGTGAGAAGTCACCCTTCCCCAGGGCAAATGGCCACGCTGCAGTCTCTTCTCCATTCTCCTGGGATTTAGGGAACTCATGCACACATGCCTGGCATGATTTTCAAGCCCCCAGGTCCTTCCTGGACTCGAACCACAGTTAGCCATGTAGGAGTCCAGCCCCTTAACCACTACATAACCTGCTGACCCATTTTAGCATTGTTTCCGTTATTTTAATATAAACGTTATATAAATGTGTGTGTGTATGTGTGTATACCTAAACATTTCATTCATATATGAGGGGACTTGAAAAAGTTTGTGGGGGGCCGACAGGTGGCGTGGTGGTTAAGGACACTGGACTCCCACGTGGCCGACTGCAGTTTGAGTCCCGGACCTGGTGGCTTGCTTTCTCACTCTCTTGCTCACTCTGTCTCTCCCGGGTCAAATTAAAATAAATAAAGTTAAATGAAATAATTCTTTAAAAAATAAATTAAAAAAAATAAAAAATAAGTTTGTGGAAAAGTGGAATTGAAGTATGAGTTTATTTTGGTCCAAAAATTTTTTGAAATTTGTATAGTTTATTCCTAATACTTTGGGTTTTTTCCCTATAGAACACACATGTTCTCCAGAGACAGAAGGAAACTGAGAAAGCACCCGCTATGGGGGCAAGGACACACCACAGTCCCTTCTCCATTTCTCCATCTTGTCAGGATTTGTAGTACACACATGTGCCCAACATGGTTTTAAAGCCACCAGGTCCAGAACTCGAGCTGAATAGACAGCCATGTGGGATCTAGTTCACTTAACTACTTGGCCTTGACCTGGCCCCTCGTATTATACATTTTCTATAAAGTTTTTGAAGATTTCGTAAAACGATCAGTGTGTTTTGGGGATGGTAAATAGATTTTGCTTAAAAAAAAAAAAAATGACATTGTTGTGCAGTTCAACCAGGAGGAAAACGGTTGGTTGACTTTGAGAAGCTGCCTGTTCTGCTTAGAAACTTCTGGAAACTGGCTAAGCAGCTGTGGTGCTACCTGGTTTGAAACCAAGAGAGTCATGCTGTAGGGCCACAGGAGATGGGGGTCATCCTCGGCAAATGGAGGGTGGGAAGGAACCTGACTGCAGGCAGTGAAATTAGTTCACAACTGGAATGAGTGATTCGTGGGGCCAGCCAGGTGACGGCACAGTGGTGGCTCAGCTGAGCCCAAATGGAAAGGTCCCAGGTTTATGTTCTGGGGCTTCACTTTACATTTCAGACACATGCCCACATGCCTGTGATTCGGGTTGGCCAAGGCTGGGGGTGGATCCATATTGAGGCCTTGTTGAGGGTGTGTCCTCTCTCAAGAAATAAACTAAAAAGTAAGAAAAGAGGTCATTTGATGACAAATTGTAGGAAGCTTCATCTGAATATTCCCAATATACATACAAGAAAAAGCAGCAGAGCAAGTAGGAAACCAGTGATCCTGAAAAAGAGCAAGACATTCTTCTCTTAAAAAAAAAATTGCTAGGGGGCGTGTGCACTCAACGGGGAGAGAGAAAAAAAGTGAGGAAGCACCCAAGTGGAATGGGCACACTAATCCCTTCTCCATTTCTCCCCTCAGGATTCTGGGCACACATGCATCAACCTATGTATTTACAGGTCCAGGGTTTGAGCTGTCTTATCCACCACTTTGCTGGCTGGCCTGACAGTCTTTTAAGCCTATTACAGGGCAGGAAATAACACTATACCCAGACAGTGATTATCCTGGGCCCTGTGAAGGGTTGGGTCAGTATGATTTTTTGTGTTTGTTAGGTTTTTGTCATGGGGCACATGGGCTTGCTGGAGACAGACAGTGATAGGGAAAGTGAGATATCACCCCCCAGGAGGATGGCCATGCTGCAATCCCTTCTCTATCTTCCTCTTGGGATTTTAGACACACATGCACATGTGCCTGGCATGATTTTCAGCTACAAGGTCCAGGACATGATTTGATAGCTAAATCCCCTGAAACATTTGGCTCAGGATAACACAGGATTATAAGGTGGATGTAAGACTATCACCTTGTCATTTCCAGAAAACAAACAGGAGCTATCCAAGAGCACAAGCTTACAAAAGCCAGCAAGTACAATGGCAGTTTCTATGGAATCAGAATGCAATCTGAGGTTTGTAGCAGAAACAATGAGCACGGCAGAATGGCTACATCAGGAAACACTATGGAACAGTTACAAATAGCCCCACTCTTCATTGGCCCTAAGTCACTGGAACCTCTGATGGGGATAAATAAGTATCTTGACAGAAGAATGAATCAAGAAAACCTCCAATCAAGCAATTGAACTAGACATTGTCCAAGGAGACATGTTACAATATACATATGCAACCAATGCAAGCTTGTTATTGGAGACATTCTGGGCCTTTCTTCTGGTTTTCTTCAAAGGAAAAGTCACAGATTAGCTACCGTATCTCTGATGATAGAGGAGCACTTAGAAAAAAATTAACATGGACTATATTACTTAGAGGCTCTTATGTTTTTGTTGCACTTACGTTATTTATGTTTTTATAACCAATGTGAATGCTTGCAAATGTACAACATGAACTGTGTGAAGCCATGAAGGAAACGGGCCAAGGTGAGGAACAGGAAAGACACTGGAGCATGCAGGAAGGTTTGGTTTGCTTCAAATACCAGTGTAGAGATAAACCTCTGAGAGACTTTTTGCTCGAGTCACGCAGCTCCAAACCAGAACTGATTTAGCAAATGAGAACTGTTTTTTTTTTTTGGAGAGGTTTTTTCGCTATAGGGCGCGTGCGCTCGCCAGACAGAGACATAGAGACAGAAAACAAGAAATCACCCCCCAGGGGGGATGGTCACGCCGCAATCCCTTCTCCTCCATTCTCCTCTCGGGATCTTGGGCACGCACGCACACGCGCCTGGCATGAGATTTAAGCCACCGGGTCCGAGACGCGAACCGCGGTCGACTACGTGGGAGTCCAGCGACATAGCCATTACGCTAACTGCTGGTTCCCAGAACTGTTTTTATTAACTGAAATTTTCAGCACTCGAACTTCACAACCCCCCTCATACCCATTTCTGCAGTTTGTGCACTTTAAATTTTATAGCTATGCACATTCTTTGATTTCTCACTGAGCAAATGATAGGGGAAAAAACAAAGGAAGGCCAGCAGGTGACGCAGTGGTTAAGGCAGATGGATCCCACATGGCTGCGTGAGCAATTTGAGTCCTGTGCTAATTGCTTGAAAAACATGCAGGGTGTGCTGTGTGCTCCAAATCCCTAAATCCCTAGGAGAGTGGGGAAGGGATTGGGTGTGGCTATCTCCCCAGGGTAGTGGTTACTCACTCACTTCCTGTTCCCTCTGTCTCTCTCCAGGGAGCACAAGTGCCTATGGCAAACTTTAAAAAAGCACAGGGTGGGGACCAGCAGTTGGCACAATGGCTGTATCTCTGGACTCCCATGTAGTCAACTGCGATTCAAGTCCTGCACACACACACGCCCAGTGGCTTAAACTCACGCCCGGCCTGTGTGTGTGTGTGTGTGTGTGTGTGTGTGTGTGTACGTGCCCAAGATCCCAAGAGGAGAATGGAGGGGAAGGGATTATGGTGTGGCCATACCCTCTGGAGGATGATTTCTTGCTTTCTGTCTCTCTCTGTCTTTCTGGTGAATGCCTGCACCCTATAGCAAAAACCTCTCAAAAAAAACAAAAACAAAACAAGGGGTGTGGGGGGACTCCTTTGGAGATGGCATACTGTCAGAGGAAAGTAAGTGCATAGTTTCCTGGACTGGTATCTGCAAGCCCAAACATTTCTTCTGTTATGAAACAGTGTGGGGCCAGTAGGTGGTATGGTGATTAAAGCACTGGATCTCACATGGCTGGCTGCATAGTTCGAGTCCCAGACATGGATACTTGAAATTCATCACACAGGGCACATGTGCATGCATGCCCAAAATCCCAAGAGGACAATGGGAGAAGGGATTACTGAGTGGCCATGGTGATGGGGGGTGATTTCTTACTTTCCCTTTCTCCCTATGGCAAAAATCTGGAAAAAAAAAAAAGTGTATGGACTAACCTTAATGAGAGGGGGCTCTCACCTGGGATTAGCTTTACTAATCAACTGTCTACTGAAGGGAGGCACTAGAGCTGAGAATGACTTATACAATGAAACACGTATTACATATATTAGATGGGAAAAAATGACTAACTTTAGAAGTAAACTTTTTCCCAATCTTAAGTCGAATGTGGTGTCAGCTTTGCTCAGAATGTACTTTCCTACATTCTGGGAGGTGAGATGACTCTTCTTCAGTCCTAAATAGCATATCAGATGACAGTGAGTCATGAGGGTCTGCCTTGTAATAGACTGTGTGGCTCCTGTAAATGGAGGGATGGAAAACCGTGATGTAAGTGACTGTTCTTAGGCTTTCTGTGATTATTTGATTTCCCCCTAAGAGAGTCGAGTCTCCCGTGTTTTGATTTTCCCTCCCTTTATTTATAGTGTGTGCACACATGTGAGTATGACTGAGAAAAGAGCACCCTTCACAGGGTCTGGTCACAATGCTGTCCCCTTCCTCCAGCTCATTAGATCTTTGGCACTTGCACACATGCCCAGCACAGTTCAGGCTGACAGGATTAAGGATTCAAACCACAATCACCATGTAGAATCCAGCCTCTCCCTTTTTTTTTGGGGGGGGGAGGTTTTCGCTATAGGGCGCGTGCGCTCGCCAGACAGACAGAAAGCGAGAAATCACCCCTAGGGGGGATGGCCACACCACAATCCCTTCTCCTCCATTCTCCTCTCGGGATCTTGGGCACACACCCACGCCCGGTGTAAGTTTTAAGCCACCGGGTCTGGGATGCGAACCACGGTTGATTATGTGGGAGTCCACTGACATAGCCATTATGCTAACTGCTGGGTCCCCCCCCCTTTTTTTTTTTTTTTTTGAATCTGCTGGGGTGCATGCACTAGCCAGAGAAAGACAAAGAGAAAGGGAGAAAAAAGTACCCCTATAATGGGGTATAGTCCCTTCTCCATTTCTCTATCCTGTTCAGATTTTGGGCATGCATACACATGTGCCTGGCATGTTTTTCAAATCACCAGGGCAAGACCAGGGCAGGGACTAGAACCATGTGGTCAGCCATGTGGGATTTAACTCCTTTACCACCAGGCCAGAGGGCTGGCCCATGGGATCCAGGTTCTCTCTCTCTCTCTCTTTTTTAAACAATTCTTTTATTTAATTTTATTTATGTAAATTTTTTTTTTTTTGAGAGGGTTTTGTTTTTGTTTTTGTTTTTTGTTTTTTTTTGCTATAGGGCGCGTGCGCTCACCAGACACAGAGACAGAGAGCAAGCAAGAAATCACCCCCCAGGGGGGATGGCCACGCCGCAATCCCTTCTCCTCCATTCTCCTCTCGGGATCTTGGGCATGCATGCACACGCGCCTGGCGTGAGTTTTAAGCCACCAGGTCCAGGATGCGAACCGCGGTCGACTACGTGGGAGTCCAGCGACACAGCCATTACGCCAACTGCAGGTTCCTATTTATGTAAATTTGACCAGAGAGGAACAGAGTAAGAGAGAAAAAAAGAGAGAGAAGGCAAGCCACCAGGTCCAGGACTCGAACTGTGGTCAGCCATGTGGGAGTCCAGCACCCTTAACCACTATGCCACCTGTCAGCCCCCCAGGTTCTCTTGAGGGACACATTACCACTACACCATGAAGCAGGCCCTACTTTTTTTTGAGAGATTTTTGCTATAGTGTGTGTACTTGCTGGAGAGACACAGACAGAAAGGGAGCAATCACCCCCAAGGGGGGGATGGCCATGCTGCAATCCCTTCTCCATTTTCGTCTTGCTATTTTGGGCACACACACACAGGTGCCTGCCTCGCATGAGTTTCAAGCCTCTGGGTCCAGGACTCAAACCACGGTCGACCATGTAGGAGTCCAATAACCTAATCATTATGCAATCTTCTGGTCACACATTTAAATATCTTAAACTGCTGTTAAACCATCTTAAATAATGTTAAGCACTTATTATATAGAAGGCTCTGTCAGACAGCAGTTGTGAGGATATGAAGATAAAATATGAAATATCTATTTATGAGCTTTTACTAATATCAGCAATTACAGCATCCTTAATGTGGTACATGAACTTGAATTGATTGATGCTGTATCTACACTAATCCCAAGTATAATAAAATACATGAGGATTACTCAAGCTACTTCCCAAGAATGTTAACAGACTTCAGTCAAGCTTTCCAAGAGTTTATAATGAATGTGTTCTTTTAATATGATAGCTGCAATACAGCGTTCACCTTATGAACTACAGAACATTTGGTGAACCAGATAAACTGGAGATAATGCATTCTGAGACAGGATCTCAGAGTGCTTCATATTACACACTCAAGTTAGGATCCAACTGGTTCAGACTGTGTCACCTTGACATTCCTGTAGGTGTTAAATGACACTAAGAGGGTCCTTGTCTGTCTCTGACAGGATAATGTTAATCTTATTCTCCAAGTGAGCTCCCAGCATGTCTCGAAGGTCAGAAAGAAAGCCTCGTTCGCTGTTGCTATGTTCACAAAGGATGATATTTATTCCCTGGGAAGCCGCATCCAGAACATCATGATGGGACATCTCACCTGCCAGAAAGGAAAGAACACTTAAATATCACACATAGAATCTACGGAGGTTCTGCTCAACCACAAGAGCACAATACCAAGCTTGGATTC